TAGAGGACATATATACAAGCTGTCTATGTTCTCTAACGTTAGAGGACGTATATACAAGCTGTCTACGTTCTCTAACGTTAGAGGACATATATACAAGCTGTCTACGTTCTCTAACGTTAGAGGACACATATACAAGCTGTCTACGTTCTCTAACGTTAGAGGATATATACAAGCTGTCTACGTTCTCTAACGTTAGAGGACATATATACAAGCTGTCTACATTCTCTAACGTTAGAGGACATATATACAAGCTGTCTATGTTCTCTAACGTTAGAGGACATATACAAGCTGTCTACGTTCTCTAACGCTAGAGGACACATATACAAGCTGTCTACGTTCTCTAACATTAGAGGACATATATACAAGCTGTCTATGTTCTCTAACGTTAGAGGACATATACAAGCTGTCTACGTTCTCTAACGCTAGAGGACACATATACAAGCTGTCTACGTTCTCTAACATTAGAGGACATATATACAAGCTGTCTATGTTCTCTAACGTTAGAGGACGTATATACAAGCTGTCTACGTTCTCTAACGTTAGAGGACATATATACAAGCTGTCTACGTTCTCTAACGTTAGAGGACATATATACAAGCTGTCTACGTTCTCTAATGCTAGAGGACACATATACAAGCTGTCTACATTCTCTAACGTTAGAGTACATATATACAAGCTGTCTACATTCTCTAACGTTAGAGGACAGATATACAAGCTGTCTACGTTCTCTAACTCTAATGCTCAGGGCTTCCAAGCGTGACATCGAATCCCGGTCCCGGAAACTTTAAGTTTTTTTGTTGGTTTTTTTCCTCTCCTTCTCCTTACTGACCAACAATTTGGTCCCGGACCCCCCACCAGGACGAAGAATAATTGACAGGAGGAACAATTGGCAGGGGTCTGGGGGCCGCAGGAGGGCCCTGGATAAAGAAAATTTGCAATTGAAGAGCTAAGATTTGGTCTCTCTGATTCTAAAATAAATTTAAGAATTAGACTCACAGACCAAGGAAAGCCACTATTGAAAATGTACTTTACCAGGCATAAATTGGTAAAAGGAAAAGTAGGCCTAAACTTAGTAGATAAAAGCTCTTCTTGGGGACAAAACCAGAATGTGCATGCTTCATCACTATATGAGAAATTACAAGGAAACAAATTATAATTATGGGGGAAATTGTTGGTCAGTCGCGAGGAGGAGAAGAAGAAGAAGAAAAAAAAAGAACTTCAGGACCGGGATTCGAACTCACACTCATAAAGTAGGCCCTAATTGTATCACTTCAAGCCCAGACACGCTGACCATCCGGCTATGAGAACACCCAAGGACCAGAGGAAGATTCAGCTCAACACATACAGCACTGTTTGAGGAAAGGCAGCAACATAGATCAACATGTTCACATCTACTGTTCTACTTCTACAACAAACAAACTGAGAAAGTCGGAAACATGGGGATAGGGGGGGGGGGTTGATATCAATGAGGCGGCGGGCATCGGAGCGGCAGATGAGGTCAGGAGGAAACAACAACAAAAAAATGGCGGAAAATTTGAAGCACTGAACGTTAGAGAACGTAGACACTTCCTTATATATAGGTTATCTGTCCCATGTTTATATATAGACCATCTGTCCCATGTTTATATATAGACCATCTGTCCCATGTTTATATATAGACCATCTGTCCCATGTTTATATATAGGTCATCTGTCCCATGTTTATATATAGATAGACCATCTGTCCCATGTTTATATATAGATCATCTGTCCCATGTTTATATATAGATCATCTGTCCCATGTTTATATATAGATCATCTGTCCCATGTTTATATAGAGACCATCTGTCCCATGTTTATATAGAGACCATCTGTCCCATGTTCATATACAGACCATCTGTCCCATGTTTATATATAGACCATCTGTCCCATGTTTATATATAGATCATCTGTCCCATATTTATATATAGACCATCTGTCCCATGTTTATATATAGACCATCTGTCCCATGTTTATATATAGATCATCTGTCCCATATTTATATATAGACCATCTGTCCCATGTTTATATATATATAGACCATCTGTCCCATGTTTATGGATTATGTCCCATGTTTATATATAGATCATCGGTCCCATGTTTATGGATTATGTCCCATGTTTATATATAGACCATCTGTCCCATGTTTATGGATTATGTCCCATGTTTATATATAGATCATCGGTCCCATGTTTATGGATTATGTCCCATTTTTATATATAGATCATCTGTCCCATGTTTATATATAGATCATCTGTCCCATGTTTATGGATTATGTCCCATGTTTATATATAGACCATCTGTCATTTGTCCCAAGTTTATATATATATTTCTTGAGCCCTGCCACATGCCCAAGAGTTCAAAGACCTCGGACTTACCTCTCTAGCACCACTGCTGATGATGATATTCTGTGGGAGAGAAAGAAAATACAGCGGACTCCTGTTATAACGAGAGGGAGGGGGACCGGTGCCAAAAGACCGTTATAGCAGGATTCTCGCTATAAGGGATCCAGTAATAAATTCAAGGGAAATAGTAAAGTAGGCCTAATCTATGAGTCTGGTTTTCTGTTCGTTTCTTTTTGTAATCTCCCCTGATGATGATTTGGTTCAACACGACTTTTAAGTCTTACTTGATCAAAAATCGAATCAGGTTTCTTTCTCTAGCGCTAGCAATGTTCACAGCTCGGCGTTAGTGATCAGAAAGAAAGTTCTCTAGGCTAACTCGCCCGCTGTGTTGTCCCCCACCCCACCACACCCTGTGGTGTGTCCCGTCTGTTTGCGCACAATGGGAACATTCCACACCCCACCCACGTCACACATTCGCTCCGTCCATCACAGTACAGCACTATGACCTCTCCATCCCCGCATCGGAGAAGTGAGAGGCACGGTAGGCTTAGATAATCTAGACTAGGCTTACACTGGCCTATCACACGATGCGTTCTGCTTGTCTGCGCATGCCACACCCTCCCCACTCATTCGCTCCAGCCTTCATTGTTGACACACATGGGACCTCCCACTCTTTGTTTTGCTAGATAACCAACAAGTTTCTCAAAATGCGAGGTTATAAATAGCCTATGCGCTGTGCACAGCAGCAGCAATATTGCACTATAACCGACTCGCGCATTTGTCTGATTGCGCTATAGCAGTATCTTTTTTACAAAGATAAAGAAGGGAAAAAACGGGGTTTTAGAACAGTGTCTTTATAACAGACTTCTCGTTATTTCAGGACTCGTTATAAGTGGATTCAACAGTACAGTACACCCAACTTTCAATGTCACATTTAACTTACAGGTTCACAAAACTCCCACTGTCACATTTAACTTACAGGTACATCCAACTCTCACTGTCACATTTAACTTACAGGTACACAAAACTCTCACTGTCACATTTAACTTACAGGTACATCCAACTCTCACTGCCACATTTAACT